CGATTGTTGGCTGTTTATGATTTCCATTTGTATTGTACACATGCCAGTAAGATAGCTCAGTGGGCTAATACATCATGTAATGTTCAGTAGAATCTGTTCAACCCTTGCTTTGCAGGTTCTAATCCTGGCAGATTTGACTCACCCCTTCATCCCTCTGAGGTAGATAAAATGAGTACCATTAGGGTAATAGTAATAACAACCCCTCGATGTTGGGCTTAAGATAGCATCCTCAGGACGTACTTGAAAAACATAGAATGTACCTTTACTGGTTAAATACTTTGTTATTATTATTATATTATGTTTTGGGAGAAAACTGACGTGTGGTAGCATAGGAGTACTTCCGTTTAAAACCACATCTTCTAATGGAAACTTTTAGAAAAGCTAAATTTGATTCAAAATTTGAAAGACGAGGTTTAAATATTCCCATGCTATTCCATTTATGTTATTATTCTAGTATTAATATGTAGCTTTCTTCTCACGACAGCTGCAATGAGACTAGTTCCCATCCACTTAAATAATATCAAACGATTAACTACAAATTGTACAAGAAGATTTGGGAAGATGTTTGATATTTATTGCAGGAAACTGCATTTCAATTTCAAGTTTTTCAAGCTCTTTAGAAAGCCTTTTTTGTTTTATCAATAGAAGAAAGATGAACGGCCACTTTGTATGCGATCGGAAATCTCAAAGAAAATAATTTATGGAGCCCGAATCATTTCTGTTTTGGCCCTAAAGCCAGCAGACTTTAGGCGCTCTCTGTTTACTCTAGTAAGCCATTCAGTACTCCTTTATTTACGGCGTTCCTGAGTTTTATTGCTATAATGTACAGAAATATTAACTTTTTATGACTGTGAGAAACCCAATCTGGTCATCATTTTACGATTGTCTCTACTGGAGACAAAAAAATAGATATTTGTTTTCAATTGTTTTATATATGTTCCTGTCTTAAATGCCCACAACTTGTTTGATCTGGTGATGTGAGTGTAGTAACCTATTCTAAATTTAATCTTCAGTTACCAAAATTAGATTATTATATATGTGAATTAAAAAAAAAAAAGGAAGGAAGGAAAAGAACCTTTAGAATGATTTATTGTAATATTTCGCCTTTTTTCCTTTTTTTGTGCAAAAATGAAAGGAAAATGTCAGGAGACAATTGATCACTTACTCAAACTCTACATCCTGACATGAACATCGTTTTCCCACACCTAATTCGTATTGTCACTTACCCTCCTGTAGTTTAAAAAACAAAACTAAAAAAAATCTGTGCTCTACTGGCAGTAGGAGTAATTTAATTTGTAAAAAAAAATAAAAATAAAAAATGGTGGAATGGGTGAGTGGGTCATCAAATACACTGATTACTCTATGATGCACAGTGTGTATAAATATGTATTTTGTTCCATGCGGTGTTTAGGTCAAAACGTTGTTATTGTATTTTTGATCCAATAAAACTGCTTTATCTTTCAACCCTGTGCGTGCCTGAAGCCTCTCCTTGGATATATCAATTGCCTGCTGACATTTTCCTTACATTTGTGAAAACATCCCATGTTTTCAAATGTAATTACTCCTCCTACAACTGCTTTCCTTTTTTAAATGCCTTTTATTGTGGTTTCACCCTGCCTGGCTTAGTCTTGCAGTGTTTGCTAACTTCGCTGATGCAGTTGGTAGACACTGATTGCAGGGCACTGTCATAGACTGGAGGCATGGTCTTTTTGGAGGTGGGTGAACAAATAGTTATTTTAAAAAAAAGACTTGGTACATCCAGTGTAGGTAGGATTAATTGGTGCAATAAATTGCAGCCAAACATTGTGGAAATAAGTGAGGGAAGAAGCCATCAATTTCCAAAGTACAAGCCGTGGCAGTGGAGTAGTGGAGGCACTCAAAGTGATCCCAAAGTATGCATTGTTGTTGCAGTACTGTACCCTAAACCCTTTGCCTGGTGCTTGCTGATGATTCAGGTAAATCAGCATCAGTGGAAGTGGAAGCTGTCACATCACTAGCCTGTACACTAGTACTTGGTTAACTAATGCTAAAGGAAATGTTGATGGTGCAGCCAGGGCCGGACTGGGGATACGAAGCAGCCCTGGAAAAAAATCTATGCCAGCCCCATAATTCATTGTGCTATATATATATATATATATATATATATATATATATATACACACATTGAAATAGTTGGCTGCACTCTCGGATTTCCTTAAAATGTAACTTTTATTGAAATATTTAAGAGAAGATCACTGTTTCAGTCCCTCTTGTGGACTTTCGTCATGATCCTGATGCAAGTCCACAAGAGGGACTGAAACGTTGATCTTCTCTTAAATATTTCAATAAAAGTTACATTTTAAGGGAATCCAAGCGTGCAGCCAACTATTTCAATTGCCTATATATATATATATACTGGATACTGGAGCCCTGGTGATGCAACAGTATAGTATTTATTTATTTTTTATTGATACATTTCTTCTTATTCAAAATATTAGTTCTTTTAGGGTAATTCAATTATATAGTAACGCATACTCACACACAGACAATCTTACTGATGCACACAAATAGGCTCATTGACAGACAATCTCAATGACACACACAGACAAGGTTACTGGCACACACACAAATTTAGTACAGACAAACTCTGATACACACACAAGCTTACTACAGACAAGCTGTCACACACACGCTCACTACAGACACGCTCACTGATGCGCACACACTCTCCCTACAGACAAGCCCATTGACACACACATGCTCCCTACAGAAGAGCTCATTAACACACAGATTCACTACAGACATGCTCACTGACACACACATATGGTCACTACAGACAAGCTCACGATCACACTCATGCTTACTACAGACAAGCTCACTGTACACACATACTCACCACAGACAGGCTCCGACTCACCCATGCTCCTTACAGACAAACTCATTAACACACACACACATATTATCCCTACAGACAAGCTCACTCACTAGCAGGCACACACACAAACTCACTAGCAGGTACAGACACACAGAGGCTCCCTCACTAGCAGATGTGCATGCACACACACACACACACACACACAGAGGCAGACAGTCACTGACAACGAGGAAAACATCCACACATACAAAGACAGGCAGACAGCCACACACACACACACAGGCAGACTGTCAAACACACAGGCAGACAGCCACATACACAAGGCAGACAGTCACACACACACAGGCAGACAGTCACACACACACAGGCAGTCAGACACACACACACAGGCAGTCAGACGCAGACAGTCACTCACACGCAGGCAGTCACTCACACACACAGGCAGACAGACACACACAGTCACACGCACACAGTCACACACACACAGTCATACACAGGCAGTCACACACACAAACAGACACACAGTCACACACAGACAGTCACACACACACAGACAGTCACACACACACACAGTCACAGGAAGTCACATGCACAGTCACACAGTCACAGACAGTCACACACAGACACACTGGCCTCGCCTCCCCCTAATACACTGCTGATCCCCCTCCCGCTAATATACTGCTGTCACCCCCCTCCCCTAATATACTGCTGACCCCCTCCCCTCCCCTCCCCAATACATTACTGACCCCCCTCCCCCAATACATTACTGCCCCCTCCCCTCTCCTCCCCCAATACATTACTACCCCCT